GAATTTATCCATGATTTCATGATTTGGACTTCCGTGCAATTATTATAATATTATTCATTTATTATTCCACTGTCGGGAATATAGAAATCTTGGAAACCCTTTCAAAATTGAACCCCCAATTAAAAACCCAATTAAGAAAAAAAATAAGACTAATTAGAAAACCTAATTAAAAGAAAAATAATGTATTATCTGAAATCTAGTGAGTAGAATAATTTAAAATAAATGGCACATAGTCGCAAATAATCGCGAGATTAATATAGCTCTAAAAATACTCCAAGATGAGAAAAATGATACTAACATCGGGATCATTCTATTCTAATGACTCGTCGCTACTTTCTAAACGTTCGATCTCCCCACTATTTCCAGTAAATTTGACACAATGCGCGTTACCGTGCAATAATAGCACACTCGGGAATAATTCAGGTATTAATCTCGTTGATTGAAATTAGCGAACGACGATACCCGTGATACGCGGTTTCAAGGCGAAGTAAACAGTATTTTACGATTTCACTTGCGATCCCCGAGCTAGGATACTGTTAGGCCATAGAAATGCATGCACGTGGTGCACGGAGGTTTCGATTAAGAATAATTACGGAAGACAGCGATAGTGTGCATCGCGGTATATCAAGTGATTCGTGGTAGATGTTGGAAAGGAGACAGTGGTCTGCCATAAAACGTAAGTCGAAAGTGTGGGATGAGGTCTTATTTTCTCTGTCGGAATCTCGCAGAAGTAATGGCTGTGACGATGTTTCGGTACGGGAAGCCGAGAGAATCTTAGCGGTTCTTCTTATGAATTAGTATTTTTCTATTCAGCGTACACGGTATAGCTCGTTCTACATAAAAAGGTAACGGTGGATGTCTACAGATCGTTGCGCGTAAAAAGACACGTCCGTTTTACAATGCTGGCTTCTTCGAGGTTCTTCGACTTTTACCTAGGCCTGCTTGACACTGCTGGAACCAGCAAAAACCGATGTTTTGTTAAACACGGATGTAATCGTTAAAAGCGTCTAATTGCCTTTGACGAAATTAATTTCCTGCTAAATTAAATTAATTTTCTGCTAAATTTTAGGAATCTGGGAAATTGAATTTAAAAAGTAGCCATTTTTAAACGTTCCATTGAAAATTCCCCACTCGACGTTAACTGTACCCTAATTTTTCAATATTTCCTGCTATTCTGTGATTTTTAAGATTTCTTTTTCCTTTTATTTTTTGGTATTTACTTTCAGCGTTAAAATACTCGCGAACGCGTGGAAATATTTCTTCCACCGAATGCAATTTAGATAAAGGATACAGAGGGAAGTATGGAAAAGGATGATAATCAATTCGTTGGGATGTTGCAGCGTTAATTACTCAGGAACTAGGTACGGGATAATAAAATGAATAATCTTAATGCTGGGAATAAAATGAAAACAATTTTTCCCTTATGTTAAAACATTAGGTCTAATTGTCCTGATAAATCTTTCGAGTTCGCTGTCTTACTGACTGTATTCATACGAGAAATATAAATATGGAGCGTAAATATGGAAACTGTAGCAATGGGAAATTCATTGAATACGCGAGATCACGGTCCGGTCACGTTTAATTAACTTATCATGGGCAAGTACCGGTTTTAAACTTTTAATTAAAAATTTTCCATTCCGAATTAACGCCTTTGGTTCAACGTGTGACCGACTCAGTTGTTGTTACAGTAAGCGCCATTGGAACTTAACACGTTAAGTACCAGGGATCGGAGCTAGATTTTCCGTTCGGGCCTAGCTAGTTCTCAGGGACTGGTCGCAGACTTTAGGTTCCTATTACACTTTTGGTGTTAAATTCTTCGCAATCTTTGGAGCTAATGTTTAGGAATTCCTGTTATAACAATTGGTACAGTATTTCCGAATTTTATGAACATTTCGCTCGCCACCGATAGCCTACTTCACGGCCGAATCTGGGCCTGAACGGAATGGCAAGCAAAACGGACTGGACACTCAACGTGTTAAGGATATATCGTTTAATCCATTCGATAGAGATAAATTACTCCTTAAAGAACGATCTAACAATAATCGCAACTAACTGTGAGTTTGTTGTATAACAATCGTATATTTATTATAAAATTATAAATTTACACACGTATTATATCATAATTGTTCACTCTCACGCTTCTTATAACAAACTGAACTTCCTTATAACATATTGATTCTGATCCATAGCAACTGCACATCACCACGCATTCTAGATCTTCCACTCGCACTTCTAAAAACATATCTATATTCGTGCCATTACTCGACCTCACACACACTTTCATTCACACTAATAAAACCAAATTCACACTAACTTCTTCGTCGATTATTGGGATTATGGATAGAAAGAAATAATTATCTGTATTTTATAATTATCTTTATTCTATCCTAAGGAAGATATATCTAAAGTATTCCGACTGTTCGCGTAGAGAATCAAAAACTAGAATGAAGAAAAAGGGTATGCGATTGCAGCTCGTCCTGGTCCCCTAATTTTTATTTAACGTGTGAAATAAACACTTCCCGGAATGTTTTCGACGCATAGTTTAAAGATATATCGATTTCTCTTGAGAGATTGATTTTTATACGTACGTTAAAACGTCTCTTATTTTCAACGTGGATGATTCAAACTCTCCACTGTCTCAGTCGCGCGGCCATTTTATCCTCGTCTGGAAAATCCTCGAGGACGAATCCTCCGTGAGAAAGGGATACGGGAAATAAAATAAAATCTCCGATCGAATCCACGTTTACTCCACTTCTACGGAGACACCTAGTACAGAGACTTCTTGGAGGACGCGGCGCTCCGGTCCGCGAGTTACACGCTCGAGGAGCCATATCCTCGCGTGAAAATCGAGCGTCGGGGTTGGAGATATCCCCGACGACGATTCGATCGTGACATTATCGTAGAAGCATCGAGTCGTTTATCGACCCCCTCGAAATCGTAAGTCGGATCAAAGGACTTATCGTCGTCGGCGATACGACGCCTCTATTCGTGCCCGACACTCGATTCCTTTATGGCTGTCTCGAATTTTATCGGCCAGCCTTTCTCCCCTGCCGCTGCTGAACGTTATCGGAACCGTCGTGCAAACGGTCGAAATTGATAAGACGCGGAGTAGAGACGTCGGTACGACATCGCGACGCCGTTGCTCTAGCTTAACGAGGCACGCGGCGCACGGTGAAAACAGATTAGTCACGTAATAAAATCGTGTCAGCCCGATTCCAGGGATTTACCGTACGTGCAACGAGACTCGGCTTTGTGTCTGCGTCCTCGAGAACCGCCACGCCGAGTCTTCCTCCTGTTTACAATTACTTCCGTTACGCCACGGACTACACGGAAGCGGAGGCGGCTGCGCCTTGGTTCTAATTACGTCGGGGCTGAGAATTCTTCAGCATCCTGCGATTGCCCGCGGACAACCTGCATCTCGTTAGTTTTTACTTCGGCTTTTAGGGAAGATACGCGATCAGAGTTTTCGGTCTTTATTTCTTTTACGAGTCGGGGGAGGGAAGGTTGAGATTAAAGAAATTTTGCGTAGGGTGGTATTCTAGAGGGTCCTCCCCCATGATTGTTACAGCCGTACTGGTCGCAGGTATCCTCGATGTAGCGGTGGTGCTAGAAGGGACGAAAGGGAAAGGAAGGGATACGTTTCGTTCTGGTCCTGTTAGGGGACTCATCGGTAAGGCTTTCTAGCAGGCCTTGCCTTAGACCGGGATACTATTGAAAGGTCGAGAGTTATATATATAGAAAGCAGAGGTTTTCCGAGAATTTGCGAGAAAGTTGTTCTTGAAATTGGAATCCATCTAGTGGCGAGGGTGAGAAAATGATGGTCGTTACAGTATTGAAGGTGGAGGATCGAGTTTCCGTCAACGATATAGACTTTGGATAGGTGTCAGATATTATACGAGATCCAACGTGTTATATTAATGCAAAAGACCTGACAGTAACCGATAGAGAATTAAAGCAGGACCAATAATATACCGATATTTTAAAAGGTATCGAAAGTATTTCTTATAATTTTTATTGACAGAATTTCTGTCACGATATATGTATTTTTAGTTGTCAGTCGCAGTGAATTGCATTTGCGAATGAGCATATTAACATATTGCGTACCACTCACGAGTTTTCTCGTTTCTCACGCGCCACCTGTCATGGACCTTAACACTAGGTTTACGAACGCTATCTGTATACATATTTCCAAATTGACAGGTGAAAGAAACCACGTGTCTTTTTTTTAACGATTTGTTTAATTTAAAAACAATTACAATATCGACAGTCTTAATATAAGTTAACTGAATCTGTTACCATCGTATAATTGAAGCAACCCATCCGTCAAATTGACAGGTTCCGTAAATCTAGTGTTAAATGTCAACACGCTGTCTTGTCAAAACGTGCGTCTCTGTCATACGTCTTAGAGATCTCTGTGCGGTACGCAATGCATTAAAATCGATACTTTAACCTATCGCGTATCCAGCAAACGGGACTAGCTGTTAAACGATATATACGTCTAGACTAATCCAAAAAGATGCGAATTTATTACTATGCCAGTTTGATTCTACGCTAGCCGAGCCTCATTCGCGCGAACATGCTCACTGTCCCCGAGGAACAGCGGATCCTTGGAAACTCGTGGACAAGGCATTAATCGGGAGAAACTTGGCCGAGACCTCTGCAACGTGGATCGATGAGAGCCTGGTTCACGGACGTGTCCCTCAGGGTGATCCGATACTTGCCTAACTCGAAAATTCGAATTGCTTTCAACAGACGGGCGTCCAATCTTGGAAACGTCGGTGGAAAAAAGGCGACGGGCAAGGAGCGGTTCCGATAACGGGCTGCGATTGGCCATCGCGGTGCACGCGCCACGGGACAGACAGGGTGCCCGATTTGAATAAAAGGACGAGGAGAGGAAAAGGGAAGAAAACGGTGGGTACATCGCCAACGGGGAAGTCCTGAAGGATGTAGTCGAGAGCGTCCGGGACGAATGAGAAAATAAAAAGAGGATGGAGGCGAAAGAGGAGTGGTCCGAGTCGCGGAGGATCACCGAGGGCTGAGAAAGAGAGCGGAAGAGAGAAAGTGAGAGGATGCACAAGCACACGAGCCAACTACGTGGTCCCAGCGGCCCCGGAAGCGGACACCATGTTGCTAATAGAGGTCCTGTCAGAAGATGGAACAGCTTCCACGGCGGTGGAAGCGTCGGCGGAGGCGCGAGTAATTTCAACGACACCGTCGGAAATGGCAATCTGCCCTCTGGTATGATCACCAAGGCTCCCCAGGAGCCATTCAGGGCCGTGCCGAAGGCCGTGCAGGCCCTCAGGAGCGAATCCGTCGATAGGAGCCATCGAGCACAGCCGCCACCGCCTCCGGCCTTCCCTCGAAGACGATTCTCCGTGTGGTGAGTTTGCAAATTTACATCGCCGCAATCTCGCCTGCCTCGCGTATACCATCTTCCCTAAATTTCGTTATTACGTATATTTTCTTCTGGCCCGGAATGAGAAATTCGGTTGAACGCGACGATTGATTAAGCTGCATCTCTGGAACTCCATTTTTCTTTTTTTTTTTTAACATACGTTTATTAAAGCTTTAGTATACTATAGTATAGTATAATATAATAAAGCCTAGACTTAAAGTATATACAGTACAATTAACAAGAAAATCTCTAAGAAAGCTGTCTAGGGACTTCAGTTCGGGAAGTCCTTTGGAATGAACTCCTGATTATTGACCGTTAATTTTTCACAAGTGATTCTTAATTATTAACACGTTAAAATGTCACACCGGTTTCACGTGCCTTTCCGTTCACGCCATTGTTAGCCGTCACGTGGGCCCTTCTGGGGCGTAAGGGTCAGCGAGGCCTGAACGGAAAGTGTAGCACCGGTCGCTAGGGACCGGCGTGGCGTTTAACGTGTTAAACGTATAAATGGGAAAGATTGAATAATTTAATCTTATAGACTAAAGTTTCTGAGCCAGAGTACGCGTAGATTGCACTTTGAATTTCAGGGCTGGATGCACTTATTGCTGAATGGGGAGCTAGTAAATTGTAATAACTTAGGCTATGATTTGGAAAATGAATATGGAAAAAGGGCCAGAGAGACAAATTATATTAATCTGTCTATGGGAAGAGATACAGGGGAATCTCTGGGACTCCTGTTACACGGTGAAAGCACACGGTGTAAAAAACGAACGAAAGTGTCGATTGCCATCAAAGTATAAAACACGCGAGCTGTGCAAAAAGTAGTTTATTACATGAGTAATTATACAGGGGTACACAAATAGCGTGCGAAAGGAGTCCCCGGTGTACACAAAGAAACGTGGAATTTTTTTACATACCGGGTGTCTGGTGTATTTGGACCAAGCGAGGTTTCGGGACAGTAAGAGGTACATAGAAACTAATTAACCGCATAAATAATCGTACATCGGTAAACTAGTACCGCGTAAAAGGAGCGCCAGGTGCGTACGAAGAAACGCGAGATCCTTTTACATACCCGGTGTGCCGTATATTTGGACCAAGCCGTTTGGTTTAAGAAAAATGAGATATCTTTTTCCATCTTCCGACAGTTCCATTGTACCACGGACCAACCGGCGTGGGATACTCGGTATAAATCGATTGTCTGCAAAATTCCGGCCTCGACTTCCGCGTTCGCCAATAGCGATACTTAATCACTGTCGAATTATCGCCTTAAATGCAAAACGCGAAAACACGAAAAGGCGCATCGAACGAGTCGCGGCGGCAGCATTTTTCCACGTTATAGAAGGAAATTCAATCAAATCCGTGCAACGTGTTTACAGAAATTAATCACGCTCGGTAATTAATTCTGCAAACCAGCACCCGTAAATTAACACGGATGCAACATAAATCACCTGGCCGTGCATTATCCGAACAGTAAATCCTGCTCTTGTACACCCCCTCCGGCCCGCCATGGATTATCTATTATCAGCCAATTTTTATCCTACAAACTTCCGACCAACGGTGCCTCGTCATAAATCAATCTTTTATTCTCCAGCCTACCTGTACGCGCCGCGCGTACCCGAGTCTTGGAGCGTGTAGCACCTGCTATTACGTCGTTTCCTTCGATTTTGGCTCGTTGTCCGTTTTGTCAGGCTGATGTTGGCGCAATTTCGATCTCGCGGAGCCGGGACGAGCGACGTGCGGACGTAAATCGGCGTTTTCTTCGCGCGTTAACGGAGAATTGGTGCACGCTGACGACGCATCTTTTATCGATGCAACATCGTAACAAAAATTTATCCGTGGTATAAATCAGCGTAACGTGCTCGGCTGTACGGACGTGGCGTTGCAATCTGAATATATTTCAATTAATCTCCATGAAACCGCGACAGCCGGCCCTGTATATCTCCTCCGCGAGCCTCTTTCTTCTCTCTTTCGTCTGCTTTTCTCTCTTTTTCTCTCTTTTTCCCTCTTTTTCCCTCTTTTCCTTCCTTTTTCCATCCTTTTTCCTCCCCCCTTTCCCCCCTTTTTCCTCTTTCCCGGCCGGTACGCGAATATACGACACGCGAAATTACACGGTGTCGCATGCGCTGGCAGCGGCAGCGATACCTTGATTGAAATTTAACGACATAACTCGGGCTTCGGCGATCGAAGTCATCCGGGTGAAATAAGCCGACAATTGCGAGGCTGAGCTTGACAGGGCCGGCGGGAAATAAAAGTAAATGACACGGAGGAATAAGCGCGCGTGGAGAGCTACAAAGTTACAGGTTTGTAAGACAGGCTGCAAAAAGGAGAGACGGGACAGGCGAAAAAGAGGTTTGATAAATATCGAGTTTATTGCTCGAGGATGACGCGATGGCGGACGAGGGTTCCTGGTGGATTTTTGAGCAGAGGTATAGGAAGAAAGGGCGTTCGGAAAGTAATTACGGCGAGTTTTGAAACGATTTATCTTGTATTTTATGGGATAAGTTGATTGGAGTTTATGAAATATTTCTATTTTATTCACTGCAAAAAGCAAAGTCAAATTTAACGCTAAATTTTGTATGATCGAATGTCTATCGTTTTAATTTTTAATCAGAAATTTCGTATTTTTTCTTTTCATATTTTTTTACTCGTTAGAGAAATGTTTTTACCTAATTTCCACAATAAATATGCAATAAATGTGTAAAATAATATAAATACAATAAATATAATAATTATTTAGTAGTGGATATCATACATTACGTATTATTTTCTGTACACGTTTATTTGATTTCGAAATTTCACCATTCGAATCACGAAAAAGCAATATATACTATACGATATTTTCTTCGTACCAAACCAGTTTTGTAAAACTATTTTTCTTGAAATATTCCATTGCCTCCAATTTAAGAAAGTACCCTGTAAAATACTTCATCATTCATATTAAATCGTTTGATGGATCAGATACCTGCTCTCGAATCAGCAAGAAGAATAATTTCTTCCATCTTCTGCTTCCATAAAATCCCATAGACCTCTGCCTCCATGTAATTGCAATTTTCTGCCAAGGCAATTAAGGAATCTTGAAACCTTTCAGAGGCGAATTTTGTTTACCGAAATATTGCTCGAATGCATGAAAAGCAACGGGATATTTCGTCTCACGAGGTCGTGGGAATACCTTCTGACACAGAAGACCAGGAAGACACTTTTGTCGTTTCGGTTGTTTCGTTACCGACCGAGAACAGTTAGACTGACAACGGGTAGCGTAAAAAGAGACATAAAGGGAGCTAATAGAGATAACGGATCCTTCTGAAGTACACTTCATTAGGTCGTCTAATCTCGAAGCCGAGTACTGTTAAACGAAGTACAATAACGTCACGAAGTGACGAAGAAAATGGCAAACATCGACGAAGATCGAAGCAACCTGATGACCCATTTTGTGGATAAACAGGTATTATAACAGGTATATTTAGACAAATATTTCGACAAACATGAACAGATATATTTTGAAAAATCGTTGGATAAAAATTTTAATGGATTTTCATGGAAGACGCAAGACCAGGTGTCAAAATGGTACCTAACGTTATTGGATGTAGTGCGTGTCAAAAATAACACTCGGACCGAGTTTGCCATAAAATAGGGTGCGTTTCAATGGTCATATCGTCGTATAAGTATGATTGCTAAATACCACATTCCATCCATAGGTCTTTTTGTAAGAGCTTTTACGGAATTTCCTTTAAGGATCGTAAAACATCGTTAAATCTAATTTCGCTGTAAAACAAATAAAATCCCTAGAAAATTCTACACGAAAGTCTAGCATTACTTAATGTAGATTTTAATTCAGGCTTTTAATTGCCACGTACGAGTTCATTTATCCCCTGTCTTATTACAACGATTAGAAGAACTCGAGTTAAACTAGTATGATAAAGAGGATCCATGAACTTGGGAGAAGAAAAAATTTTTTTCTTGCCATTTAAGTACGTAGGAATACCTCTTCGTGTGGGGCATTCGTAGGCCAGGGTGATTAACTCCATTTTCGTCCATTTTTTCTTAATATTAATATCAAAGAAATCAACGCTTAATTCCAGATATTCAAAACAAATTTCTATCTTCGTTCCGTAGAGTTGATCAATTTGTAGGTTATGAGAGAAGAAATCGTCCACCGGCAATTCTTCGTCCATTTCGTGTGAAACTTGATAATTTGATTAATCGTAATAGCACTCTCACGTGACAAGTTGCGGTGTTTCGTGGGTCTGCAGATTCTCTAATAAATTCGTTCTTAAATAGGTCAAACTGTCAACGCTCTGCTAATACCTCGAAAAACCCGAGTGAAAGCCTTCCCAAGTATGAAACGCGAAATCTACTTTTCCGGAGCGAGGTAGAATTAATCTTTCAAAACGGGGATCTACTTTTCCAGAAGGAAACAAAATTAATCCGGGAATTAATCGCGGAACGCAGAATCCACCTCTGGAGAACGGGACGAAAAATGGATTCCACGACGCTGCGTGATCTTCCACGCGAACGCGAGCGCCGCCATTTCTTGTCAAATCAAACCTGCGCCATCTAGGGACTGAAAGACAAAGCAAAGTCGAAGACCCAGCCATCGGAAGGCATAAAAAGGTGGACGTAAAACGCAGGGAGAAACCGCAAAAAAGAAAGCCATCGACGACACGTCGTATGGGCGAGGTCCGTCCATAAACGAAACGACCATAATCACCGGGATATCAGGGACGGGGTGACGTTGTAGGGTTAGCTCGCGGCGGGGTTGCGAGATGGAGAAGCCTGGCCGCGTGATCCATGTCGAATTCAATTTTCCGCGCTGCACACGTGACGCACACGCGTTACCAAGTCTCGTGCGTGTGTTATACTCCGAGTGTACACACGTGCAAGTGTACGCACGCGTAAGTGTGTGTATGCGTTACGCACGGCGCGTTGAAGGAAGATGAATGCAGGCGGGAGGTCAAGAACCTTGGCCAACCTTCCTTCTGGCCGTG